CAGACAAGGAAGTATTTATCATGAGCCAAGAAAAACGAGTGATCTGCCTTGGATGCTCCTGCACCAGGGCTGTTTTGCAAACGGGGAGTTTAATGAAGGAACTACAGAGCTGCTCCCAGACAGCAGAGGTGGCATGGGAGGGGGCATGAAGGTCTCAAAGCTGGAGCAGAGGGGTTAAGCTCACTTTGCCATCTCAGCTGAGCGATGTGCAGGGACCAAGGCCAAACAGCACACAGGAGGCGTGCCGAGCGCCTCTTGTTTTGCAGGGAGGGGATGGTGCGAGCACCAATTTCATATGCATGGGCACACACCGCAATCCTACCAATCCCCGAACCTGTTTAATATCTCTCGTAGGTAAAGCACTAAAAAGCATCCCAAAAGCAGAAGCTGTTTTGGCACAGAGGCTGCGGCACAAGGACACCTTGTGTGCCCTGACCCCCAGCATCTCCTGCAGCTGGTACCACCCTCCTGGTAGCCCCAGCCCACACCTGAAGCCGCATCACTCCCGTGGCACTGAAATGTCAGGGCCCTAACAGGAGAAGGATGACTGGTAAGGAGGGCACAGCAAGAAACTGGATCCACAGGGGAGGAAGAGAGGGGAACCCTTCTGTCCCCAGGGAATATTGATCACGAAGGTGCTTTAAAAGGAAAGGGGGACCTGCGCTACCCAGGGAAATTGATCTGTTTACAGAAAATACCTGCAGGTTGCCTGAAAATGAATATCCTTCATGCAAAAGTTTCCTTTGAGAGAACACGAACTTCGGACACATTAGAAGGTTAAGAGCGTAAGTAATGTGGGTTTTCACCTTTAGCTAAAGGTCACAGAGCATTCAAACAATTCCTCTGTTCCCAGGCTAAACATGACAGAAGTCAGCAAAGCACCCCAACATTACAGCTAATTAATATGGAAAACAAAAACGTTTCCCCAGCAGTTTGGCCAAGAACCACACAGCGCTCTTAAGAAGAGAGTGCCGATTACTGGCGATTTCAGTTTTACCTAAAGAAAGTCAAACAAACCAGAACCTTTTCCCCAAGCTTCTTTCTTCCCTTCGAAAGCATGCACACTTGTCAGTTTTTTTACATGTAATTTTTTAGTAAGATGGAAATAAATCTAGGGTCATTATAAAATAGCACACCATTTTCACCTCCAGCCTCCCCGAGAGCTGCTGGGACCAGATGCCTCTCAGGGAGGAGGAGGAAGAGGAGGAGGAGGACACCCCAATACAGATGGGGACCAACCTACCCAGCAGAAAGCCTATTCGCTGCATCACCCATCAGAGCTCAGTCTGGATCAGACCCACGGGTTCACAGCCCTGCCCAAAGCTGGCGCCTAAGAGTGAAACCAGCCAACAAACACCCTCACTCAACCGGTACTGGATCTTCTCCACCAGCTCCAAACTCAGCGGTAACTCCTGGAACATGCTGCTGGGACGTAGTGCCCATAAGTACAAAGCATATTTCTGTTTGCTCACTTGAAATGCATCTTTTTCCCCATTTTGCTGGATACTCCCTTGGGTTTTATGCAATGGAAGAAGAAAAACGCCCAAGCCTGCTTCCACTGCCTTCTGCCCCTTCACAACATCCCCTCTCACTTGCCTCATCTGTGAAATCAAACAGCTGCAATCCTTTAAATCACTTTTCATAAAGTGTCTCCAAGCCTAAAATAATGTCACGGCTCATTTCTGAGCTCAGGATTCCTGCCGCGCCACATTTCCCTGGGTGCGACCGTCACAGTCGGACTGTGATTATTTATTTATATTATAATAGCATTTGCAGCCCTGCTGTGCTCAGCCCTCCACACGCACCCAGGAGGTGACCTAGGGCGTTTCCACCGCCAGGATAAGGATCCCTGGGCTGACGAATTCCCAGTTCTCGGGAAGGGATGTCATGGAATGCAGCAAACCAGAACCAAAATCTAATTAGATGCAAGACATGCTAGTGTCGGGTTGGTTTTGGCCTCTCTTGCTTTCTTCCAAACAAGCTCTCGCTGTGCAAACACACCCCATGACAAAACTGACCCGGCCAAGACATGCAAGCAAATACCGCTGACTTTTAATATTAAACAGCACAGCAACTTCAAAGCAACTGGGCTCTCCTCTCCCAAGCAATCCCACCAGAGATCAGCTCCAGCCCCAGAGCCATGGCCAGGTTCCAGCTCACGGCACCGCCGAGCAGGAGACACGTGTTTGCAAACAGCTGAGAGTGGCAGGGCAGATCATGCAGGGACACGCTTGAAGCGGCGCTCTGCCTACCCTCCCGAGGAGAGGCAAGGTGCATTTGGTTTGCGTGGGGCTGGCACACTTCTGCCAAGAGAAGCCTTTCGGCTTTCCATCCAAAAAAAAAAAAAAAAAAAAAATCTAAGCTCAGACCTCTCCCGCATCCATACACCCAAAAGGTATCGCATAACTTCGGAAGATTACATGCGGCTGTAAAAATAGCTTCTAGAAGCAAATGCCAGCAACTTCTTCCAACATTAATACGATAGAATAAAAACAGTATTCACCCTAGCCAGAGAGCAGGGCAGGTTGGAGAAACCCAGAGCTCCATCCGACTCGCAAACAACTGCCCTGCTTGGTTCGTTCTGCTGTTGCGACACGAAGGGGAAGTAACCGGGGTTTGCAGGAGACAGGGACGCACCCTCAGGCTAGGAGCCCTTCGCGCTCTTCTAAAATCCGTCTCCGCATTGGGTATTGAGGTTTCTTTGGTTTGTTTTTAAATGACAGCTTTGCAACAATGGCAGATGATGCTCACCTGGTCACATCTTCCTCCTGCTCATGTTTCTGATACAAAGGGAACTGGGATTTTCTTTTTGAGACAGATGCCCTCATTCTGTCCCACCTCCCAAATAAACAGGCTCGCACTGATGGAAGCACAACTCCCATAAATCCAACCAGGTCAGCGCGTCTCATACCCTGGATGAAAAGCTTCTTTGTGCAGAAGCACGCAGGCCCCGAGCGATCTAGATGAGCCAGCTAACGCAGCCAAAAGCTCGTCCTGCGCCCTCCTTAACGTTTCTATTTCAAAGCCTTTCCAAACTCCGGCTCTGCTCCCTGGGCCGCTCTGCTGAAGCCCAGCAAAGAGGGCAGATGAGGGAATTTCACCCCTTCGCTGACACTTTGCGGGTTTCCAGGCTTTCGAGTCAAACTCTAAAAATCGTCACAGCAGGTAGCCACCACTGTCAGAAACATCACCCCGAGATAAGGTCTCCTCACTAATTTGTGTTACAAGCACCTTCCTGGCTGTGGCCACCTTGCTGTAACCCACCACGAAGTGGCTCCTAAGAGCAGCCTTACCAGCGTGTGCCACACTCCAGCACCTAATAAGATTCATTTAAGCAGCTTGAGCTGACTAAAGCTGTTCCACTAAGCAGAGTTTTTTCCGTTAAGGGCTTAAACCTAAAACATTCAACCATCCAGGATGAGCAAGCACAGACGTGAGTGACACAGCATAGAAAGGAGAGGCTGAATCCAGGTGAATTAACCCGTGCAAGCGCCGGTGCATTCAACAAAACACAGCCGACAACAAAAGAAAATCACCACCAGCTTATGCCTTGATCCAAGAGGAGACAAGACAACAGGTCAAAGGTAAGAGGGGGAAAAAGTGGGGAAGAATAAAATGGAAAAAATCAGCAGCTCAGTTTTCTTCTTGCTCCCCAGGAGTGCCACCCCCAGCCAGGCCTGTCATGTAGAGAGGGGCAGGTCTCCTGACTGAAGGGCAGGTGGCAGGTTCACCCCGACAGTCCGCCTGGAAATCAGGAGAGCTCTCCTGTGGGCGTGAAGAGCAAGGACCAGGCTCGCGGGGAAGCATTAAGCCCACACGCAGGAGAGGATGCTCGTTCCCTTGTGATTCAGCGCCAAGGAAAGGCCAAGCTGAAGAGGGCTGGAGGCCACGTGCTCCTGCTCCATGCCTTCCCCCCCCCAAGCTGGTTGCTGCATCCCACCAAGGGTGCTCTTCCCAGGAAGAAAAATGGACTCAGGTGCTCAGAAGTGATGAGCCAGAGCCCATGAACACCACCACAGCAAGCGCCAGAAGAGGCTGGAGAGAAAGAAAAGCTGAAAGCACCATATGGAGGGAAAAAAAAAAAAAAAAAAAAAAGAGAGGATCCCACAAGAGAGGAACGATGAAATCCCGTACCACAGGCACGGAAATGGCCTGATTTCTCTGTAACAGCCACATCCGAGACCAGCGCAGCTGAGCCACTGCCCCAGTGACGGGGACGCGCCACACAGCTCCTACCCTGCGAGCGGGTAGGGAAGGAAAGTCTCTTGCCTTACCGCATGCGGTCGAGCAATCTGAACCGGATAGGACATGGCGTGCGGGGGGTAGCGCGGCTCAGCAGCACGCCAGCTCTGCGTCACGGGCTGCGTAGATCCAGACATGTCGAAAGAGCAGGCGCGGCGGTCACTGCTTCCAAGTCACCGACAAAGGATTAGGAGAGCCGAGAGCTGCTCTTCATCATGAGCATGCTTTCCACGTCATGCAACAACTGAAAGCAAACAGGAAAGCAGAAGGTTAAAATTCAGTCAACCACAATCCCACGAGACAACTGAACATCAAGCCCTGGGTGATCACCAAAACCTGACTGCCCTCGCAGTTCTCCAGCAGCCCTGTTTTCCACTTGGCAAACCCCACTGCCAAGTTTTTGCTGCGGATTAGTCCTATGCCAGGGAAGTCCAAATATAAGATTATCCCAAATCCATCCCAACCGGCTGCCCCAGAAAGCCTCCCCCCACACCAGCAGGACCAGGTCTGCAAACTGCCAGCAATTTATTTAGGCCCTGTGGAGCCACATCTCCAAGTCTCCTGGAGACGGGTATTTTTTTGAGGGGTGACTTAGTTCCCAAAAAACACAAGCTGGAGTTTTGGCACTTCAACACGAGGTCCAAAGGCACCAGGTCCCTCCTCAGCCTCTCTCTTTCCCCGTCCATGCTTTCACACATCGGCAAACGCTTCTTTCAGTGCCCTCCTTTCTGAGCCGTGGCCATTTTTGCAGCCACCTGAGGTAAGCCCTGATCTATGCAAGGAGGGACACCGGGCATCGACCTCCCCAGCAGCCCTCTCCATCCACAGGGCTGCACTAAAATGCAAGATTAAAGCATGTTTCACGCCTCCAGTCTGACATAAATATTAGTTCAGCCTTTCTGATCAGGACCAAGAGTCAGAGAAGACACCATGGCCCTGAGGGTATTTTCACAAACACCCCTGTCACCCACACATTCGATGCTTTACCACGTGTTGCAATTCCTTTTGCAGCTGTAACAAAGTCAGGAAAACCAACAAAGTGGAAGATTTACACGTTGCTGATTTTTATAGATACTTTACGTAGTTTGTTTGGAGAGGATTTTAAGCCTCCTGCTTTTTGTCTGAATTTCAACAAAAAAGTCTAAATGTCTAAATGCTACCCTTCATTGCTGCCAGTTTAAGAGGCATTAACCATTATTCTCACATTAATGGTTAATAAATTCCCACCACTGCCTGGGCTCGGAGGATGCTCCCAGGACCAATCCTGGGTATGAGAGCAGCATCTTCCCAACTCCTCCTCCCCAGGATCCCTTCTTCATCCCACGCAACGCTGAGCACACTCGCACGCCTCCCCCCACAGCAGAGGTACACGTTACGTATAGATTTATGCAAGGTTTTTGGCAGTATCAAAGTCTTTCATCAGCACACTAGGAGCAGCAGAGAAAGCTTCCAGCACCGTGAGCTCCCCAGCAGCATCTCCCCGCGCTCTCGTGGTCTCTGCTGCACAGGGAGCACAGCCAGCCCGAGCCAACGTAATTTCAACTGAAACAGCGGTTGGCATGTACAAAAACCAAAAGGGGGTGGGAAAGGAAAAAAAAAGAGGAAGTTTTTCTTTTTCTTTTTTTTTTCTTCCCTCCTGTGAGACCACAGATCAGGCCATGCTGATAAACCCCTTGCTATCCGCTGCAGGCAGGCACAGGACGGCCTCTCTGGTTTGCCAGCATCCACGCACTGCTCACCAGCCAGAAATAAAATCAAACCAAGGCAACGGTCCCTGGCAGGCTGGGCACAGCAAGCAGGGCAACAACAGCAGGAGGAAAGCAGCCTAAGGAGGCGCCCTTACAAAGCGGTCGAGTTTTACAAATATAATATTTTTCAGCAAATTCCCATTAAGGCTTAAAGATGACAGACATGCAGAGACATCTCTATGCTCCTGACGAGGGTCAGCCGAGCCTTTTTTGGCAAAAGGTATTTTGCCAAGCCACGTATGGGAAAACACACAGCAAGGTTTGGCTCTCAGGGCAGGGAGAGGAGGGACAACCAGGTCCCCTCCCGCTTGCGGCTCACTCACTCCCTGCACAGGAGCTGGGATTCCCCCTCGCCCTGCACCCACACATCCCTGCCGAGCCCCAGGGCACCTCACCTGCCACCCTGGTCCCGGGAAGCACCAGTGGCTCGGGAACAGCCCAACCTTCATCCCGGACAGGGACAGCCTTCCCACACAGGAGCTCGGTGTGCTCGGTGCAATCCGTCCCCAGGGCAGGAAAGCCCCTGCACACGCAGGGGAATTCAGAGGCACCCAGAGGCGCGTATTTATACTTCCAGTATGACTACCCCACTTCCCCTCACGCTTCCGACTGGATGGGATTTTAATCGCTGATTCCCACCCAAAGCTGGGGGCTGTGCCGGGAACATGCGGTTCAACACCCACTCCGCTCACCCTCCAGGGACACACCACCACCCTCCCAGCAATCCTGCAGCCCACGTGTGCTCCTACAGGGGCAAACCCTCCCTGCAGATGCCAAGGACACGTGCACGATGCTCTCAAGGGCTCCAAAAGCTCGCTGGGATCTGCAGAAGTTTAAGGTACTTTCCTAATAACAGATTCAAATTTGGACATCTTGGCTTCCAGCCACCTAAGAGTTAATTAGCACATGTAAAAATATATATATATATACACACACACACACACACACACACTCCAAGGTGGGAGGGCCCAGAGCCCTTGGCAGCTTTCAGCAAGCCAACTGCTTCCCTGGAAGCCCAGCAGGTGGACCAGACCATGCCATGGCAGCTATGGTAAAAGAAACAGGATGATTTTTCTTTTTTTTTTTTAAACTCTTCAGATCAGTTCAGCTTTAAAACTCAGCACCAAGTCACATGGTGTCAAGCTTTAAAACAGTGTAAAAGCTTCTGTCTGGGCAATCAGCAAAAAGAAGAAAAAAGAATTAGCTCTCTACTAGAGGGATACACACACAGGGTGAAATTACAGGGGCTAACAAAACTATCCCGCACCAAGGCACACTGCCCCACGAGCTGTGCCGGTGGCGTGCACTAACCACATGCAAGCAGGACCACAAAAGGCTTTTTCCTTACCAAGGCCTCAACAAAAAGCCTTGGAAAGCCAGGAGTAAAAATCACATGCTTGCAACCAGGTGAAGCGCTGCCCATGCGTTTCCACACCTGCAAACCACGGAGCAGCAGGTCGCCAGCAAGATCTCAGCGCAAGTCTAAGGCCCTGATGCTCTCCACCGCAGCTGGACTGTGGGCTGGAGCCGACTGAGGCCACCAAAGCACTGGGGCAGCTCCACAGAGGCCATCGCCTTAGATCCCATTTTTATGCCCCATGTGCAAAGAAAGGGGCTGCTGCAGCCCAGCACCGCTGTGGGGAGGAGGAGGGCGCACGTCCACCGGCAGCTGCCTGTGCGTGCTCCCACTGGGGAAGCAAAGTGGGAGCATAACATCTTGCTGGGGGTGTACAGGTGCTGCTTCAGAGCTGGGTGCAGCTGGGACGCTGCTTGGCCACCTATCCCCAGCAAAAGATACTGGGGTGCCTCCTCCTTCTCCACAACCCTTTATTATTTTTAAGAGAGGAACACAAACAATAGGAGCAGATTAATGGAAATAAAAGAGAAATAGTGCAGCCAGGCTCTTTAAATCTTTAAGATCGAACCGTTTGGTTCCTACTTTTCTCAACTGATTTTGATGAGGAACAGACATTGTCTCACAGGAAAAGTATTTCCCCCCCTGGTTGGAGTTTCCATCAGAGACTGTTTTACCCACAGACCTGTGTTAGCCATTACAGCCCTAGGTACGAGGAGATTTACAGTCTCTGATTAGGAACAGGAGAAAGCCAGAGGTTACCAGCAAACCTGGCACCAGGGCTACAACACGGACACGCGGCAGAGGTGAGAGCCCACGGAGGCTCCCGCACCCATTTATTTCCACCTGCTTGGGAGGCTCCCAGGATCCTGCCCCACTGCTGAAGCCTTCAAAAACTCCACCCTCCTCCCCCCCGCCAACGCCACACAGCGAACCACCACCCCCCTGCTCCTCTGTTTCTCCTCTTCATGTACCATTTACTGTCTAAAATCGTTTCCCCATCACCTGTTCTCCCTAATTTACACCATGAAAGCACTCTACAAGCCACTGCAAGTTGCTGCAGGCTTGCCTGCACACAGAGGAGCTCTGCCCGAGAGCCTGCCAGCTCCCAGCAGCATACGCCAGCTCAGTTGCAGCCCATGCTAACGGGGTGTAGAGCACCGGGCCAAGCAGACTCGTGTCCAGCCCAAAAGATGGGCACAGACAAGCTCACGATGCCCCGCAGTGATCTACAGGTTCGCAGTCAACACCACTTAGACACAGGGCTGTGCATTTCTGTGCCAGTCCTTCGGGCCAGCTCCTGAGCACAGCAAAAGCATACACTGATACAGCCAGGAGCATGCAAAAACCCTACAAGTCTAAAATAAGGCTTTGCAATTAAACTGATTTGCAAAAAACTTAATTAGCATCATTCAACACACTTGTTGCTCTTCAAAGTTAGAGCCAACCTTCCCTATCAGCTCCATACTCCTCAGGGAGAACAGAATTCCCAGGTGAGGTCCCTGGCTTGCCGCTGACATGATATAAATGTGGGCGAGTTGCCGTGATTACCCCATGCCTTAGTTCATCTGTCTGAAAGGTGAGAACAACAAGACACTCCCAGCTCACAGAAAATACCGGTTTATCCATCCTTATAAAGGTTTTAAAGATCCCAATGAAAACACACTCCTCAAGTTCAAAGCAAGGACATGCTGAAATAAGATTAACAGAATATTCGGTTTCTTAAGGCCAGAGTAATGTTACTCAACTTGTGGTCTACGAACCATGGATGGTCTACAGAAGACGTTAGGACGTAGCCCACAAAGTGACTGCAAAAGACCTTATTAAAAGGCAACAACTAGTACCACCATACTATGCAGACAAGGCAAATAAGCAAAATGCTGCTAGCACTCACCAGGGTACATTTAATTGAAGAGTATTGACAACAAAGCTGATGTTTAATTACATGATACAAGTTTTTGGAAAAAACAACCAAGTCGTCTTTACTGAAATGCTAAATACATGACAATTTTCCCTCCTCAAACAAGAAAAAAAGGTATATATCCTCCAGTCAACTCATGTATTTTGAAATAAAAGTTAAGACGACCTTTGTTTATAATGCTTAATTAATACCAAGCTATAACATTCACCTCCAAGAAAGCAAC